CGGGCCTAGACCCTTTTTTTTTCTGAAGAAGGGTCTAGGCCCGAAACGTCAGCCTTCCTGCTCCTCTGATGCTGCTTGGCCTGCTGTGTTCATCCAGCTCTACACCTTATTATCTCAGATTCTCCAGCATCTGCAGTTCCTGCTATCAGTTGGATACACAGGTATTTTTTACTGGCGAAGGTTACTAGATTAAGAAAAACAAGACTATTTGGAGGGCCCTGTTGTGGTGCAGTGTTCCTTCCCCTAGACCTAGAAGCCTGGGTTCAAATCCTACCTGCTGTAGAAGTATGTAATAACATATCTGAACAATTTGTTTAGAAAAAATGTCATAAAGAAAGACTAGTTGTAGGGCCCTCTTGTGGCACAGTGGAAGTGCTGAGTGTGATAACTCTTCCAAATGTAAGGAAAAAAAAAAGGCTGTTTGGGGGTTCTTCTCGTGCAGTGGTAGAATCCCTACCTTTGAATCAGGCTTAAAGTCCCACCTGTGTAATAACATCTCTGTACAGGTTGATTAGAAAATAAGTTAAGAAAAACAGTAGTTGGGAGGCACTTCTGGTACAGTGGTAGTGTTCCTACCCCTGAGCCAGCAGGCCCAGGTTCAAGTTCCATCTACTCCAGAGGTGTGTCATAACTTCTCTGAATATGTTGATCAGAAAATAAATTTTAAAAAAGGGGAAAAATGAAAAGCAAAATAAAAGTCATGGCAATTTTGGTGGTGGAAAAGTTGCTCAGTTGTGCATGATAGCCCTTCTGAGTGTGGCAAAAAGAAAAAAAAACAAGGCTAGTTGGGCTTTTGATGGTTTGCATTGCCCATAATGGCTTTGATTGCAGTATTTAACTGGCTATGTGGGCGGTTAGGAATTTTTTTAAAAACCAAGCAAGACTAATTCACTGCTTTTCATAATTCATATAAAAGATTTGGATGTGAGCAAAGGAGACAAATGACACCAAAATTGGACATGTAGTGGACAGCAACGAAGGTTACCTCAGAATACGACGCAATCTTAATCAGACTAATTGGTGCTGTTAACAGGCACTGTATGTCAATTGGATACACAAGTATTTTGACCAGTTGTGGTTACTAGTTTAAAAACAACGAGACTAGTTGGACGGCTCTCTTTATGTCATAGTGGTAGTGTCCATACTTCTGGATCAAGATGCTAGGGTTCAAGTCCCACCTGCTCCAAAGGTGGGAGGAGTGGTAGATGGAGTTTCATTTAGATAAACATGAGGTGCTGCATTTTGGAAAGGCAGATCAGGGCAGAACTTATACACTTAATGAACAATATGTAATGGAACTAACGAGGGAGGAAGCTATCCCAGATCTGGTCCTGTGTAATGAGACAGGGATAATTAATGATCTCGTAGTTAGGGATCCTCTTGAAAGGAGTGATCACTGTATGGTTGAATTTAGAATACAGATGGAAAGTCAGAAGATAAAATCCAATACCAGGGTCCTGTGCTCAGACAAAAGAGACTACAATAGGATGAGGGAGGAGTTGGCGAAAGTAAACTGGAAACAAAAACTCTATGGTGGGACAGTGGAGGACTTTCAAAGCAATTTTTCAAAGTGCTCAGCAAAAGTATATACCGGTGAAAAGGAAGGACTGTAGGAAAAGGTGTAATCAGCCATGGATGTCGAAGGAAATAAAGGAAGCTATCAAATTGAAAGATAAGGCATACGAAGTGGCAAAGACAGTGGGAAACTAGAAGATTGGGAAAACTTTAAAGTTCAACAGAAAGCCACAAAAAGGCTTTAAGTAAGACAGATTATGAGACTAAACGAATTCAGAATATAAAGATAGATAGCAAAAGTTTCTACAAATATATAAAACAAGAAAGATTGGCTAAGGTAAACATTGGTCCTTTACAGGATGAGATGGGGAATTTAATAACGGGAAATGAGGAAATAGCTGAGGCATTGAACAAGTGTTTTGTTTTGGTCTTCACGTGAAGGACACAAATAACTTACCAGTAATTGAT